GAACTTGTTGGTACAAAAACAACGGATGTAATATGTGGTGGGCGGCATCTGTTTCCGGGTTCAACTATTTCTCTGACAAGGATCACTCATAAGTTGCGTGCGCCTACATAGTGACTACCACATATATAGTGTATATCAAAGGGAATGAAACTGGAAGGTATATAAATGGGAGCCACAATTAATCTCCTGTCACAGGACGCCTGTGCCTACCGAAGGACTATGGGTTGCTTGCGCTGCACCACCCGCAGGTCTTTCCACACCCATATCCATTTAAAACCCGAAGGTATGAAACCGGGAGACACATGGACGGGATCCACGTTTTATCAACATTGCCGGTCCACACTCCTTCAACATACACAGCAACAGCATTTCACTCTGTCCAATCGGGGAATCATACGTACCAGACATATACAAGGCGGCGACTGGGCCGCAGCCCGTTGCACACTGGATGCATGGAACCACTCTGAGCCTAGCACGGTTACCCCATCTTCCATGCAACTTTTCACCTTCTCCTTTAATCAGTAACCCAGGTGGAGTGTTAAACGGTCACCTTATTAGTATTCACAGCAAGCGCGCTCACACCATGAATATCAAACAGCAGCTAACTTCTGAAATGCAAGGAACTCAACACGTAGGCCGACGTACGGATCTGCTGCAACGATGATGTAACACGCGTACCACCTCAATCGTCTTATTCGTCTCGGTTTGTAAAATCAGATGGAAGCTCACGCAGCGCACCGACCAATCACTTGGCTGATTATGCTTAGATAGTCAGCTGACTCGTCACCTTTCGGATGTTGTCCCGCGTGGCCGCACTGTTGGTTTATCAGGCCCGTTTGGCTCGGGCAGTCGCGACCGCATATGCTACAGCATCATGCATTTGACAGTGACGAGATAGACTCCATCGGCGCCTGTCGCTTCCACTCACGGTGTTTCTCATTCGCATGTAACAGTGCTTTCTGCTGCTATCCTCTTGATCAGCTCACATCATTCACGACGATCAACTGCCTTTGATTCCCAGCACTTGAAAACAAACTTTAATTCGTGATAAACTCACCTTGATCATTTCCTGGTAACGTAACTACGGTTATCCAACGTTCCATTTTCCCGCATTAAGTTGTCCATATAAGACCTGCTTGGACATCCGCGTCGATTTTATGCGTCTGAAATGCCCCATTGATCTCAAGTGCCGCAAAAGTCCACTGCGTCGCATCACTTCAGTGTCTGCAACTCTTTCGCACAAACCGATGCATAGAATCCGTCTCAGACAATGTTGATGATACTGCTCCACATATTTGGTACAATGTTCAGGTGTCCTTGCCGTATAAAAGAACGGACAACACCATAGCTTGTTAACATCGCCTTCGTTCCAACGGTAAACTGGTGATTGTTCCACACACGCTTTTCCAAATTTCTAAATACAATAGACTGTTTCGATACGTGGACACGTAGTTCGCTCATCATCTGTGGGTCGATTGATATTACGCTTCCTAGGTAGTGAAATTTCGATGCTGTCTCCAACACGTCATCAGCAACCTGGATTCTGAGCAGGCCCATGGACTCCATTCCGTGTGAACGCTGGAAAACACAAACAGTCTGGTGTTGATGATTATCCGAACTTGGCCGCTGTCGAAGCGAGAACCGGTCATGTACTGCAACTCATCCGCACTGTGCGCAAACAGCGCACAGTTGTCGGCAAACAGCAACATACGGATAGTTGTCTCACAGACTAGAGTTCTCGCACCGAAACGACGGATGTTCAGCAACCCACCATCAAAATGGTGCTCCATACGAACACCGTAAGCACAAGCGGCGTCAAAAGCACAAGACATCATCGCCTGAAGATAAATATTAAACAGGGCAGGAGCTCAGACACAGTTTTGGTTCACCCCAGTGACAACTGTAAAGTCATCCGAGGTCTCTCCACTCAGCTGCACCCTTGCCCGCATACCACTGTGCAGACATTCTATTAAACTTACCAATTTATTCGGACAATCAAACTTACCTAACACCAGCCCCAATGTCTCGCGGTTCATCGTGTCAAATGCCTTGGTGAGGTCAACAAACAGTGAGTGCTATGGCTGATGTCGCTCTTGGCATTTCTCCTGCAGCTGACGAGCCGCAAACGCTATATATGGGGTGCCGCGTCGCTCTTCCGCCACGTTCAATTCAACAACCTGACTGGCGATGCAGTTGAGCAAGATTCGGGCAATCAACCCCTGTGCAACTCAGCAGATTGATGTCTTCATAACTGGTGCAACATTGCTTGCTCTCTTTGCCCTTGTACAGGGCCCCTGTACAAGAGCATCCTTCAGGTCAGTCGGCACCTTTTCCTCAATCCACATACGTTGCACCAACACTTGTCCACCGTATTTTTACACCTCAGACGGGATCCGTCGGCTGGCGCGCTTGCGGTTTCCTAGCTGAGCAAGTGCTCTCTACGTCTGACCTGACGTCGGTATGTCGGCAAGCCATCTCTTCATCTCTTGATGTTGTAGCCCGTGCAACAGCCCAGTCTATCACTGAATGTTTGTTCTAAAGATAGTTGGAGTGCTTTCGAATAGCGTTCTCAGCGGCTGCAACGTGAGTCCATACATCACGTTCAAGGAATCAAATAGTTCTTTATGTTGGTGGCATTCGGGGTACCATTCCATCTGCTTGTCGTTCTCCGTCCATCATGAATTCTTGATGCGACGAAGCTCTCGAGTCAATCGCCGTCGAAGTTTGCGAAAATATCTCTCCTTTTCGTGATCGGCGGTGTCATCCACGTGCGAAGCAAACACTGCATTCATTTTGGACACCATTGCGTTATTGGTCCCACTGTTGTCGTCAAACCATTCGGGCCGCTTACAGTTAGCGCGTCCGATCGTTTTCTCATCAAAGACCATCACCTGTTCACGGATGTGGTGCCACTGGTCACTCACCGAGGGGATGGATTCGACATCGCGAAGTCAGGTAGCCATCGCCTTCTCTAGTTCCATTCTTTTCTATATATTGCTTAAGGAAAGACCATTAAATTTGCTCCGATTCACGACAGGTGAGCGTAATCGTCATCATGCACGTTAGCTGTTGGCGGAAAATACCTCGGCTATTGTGCCGCAACACAAAAGAAAAGAAAAAAACATCCAACAGAAGTACGCCGGCTGAGCCACCAGTAACGGATGGATATCGTTCCGGAGAACTACCAGCCAGATATTGTGCCGCAAAAAGAGCCACGTTAACCCTAATAAATGAGATGGCGGTTGGAAGGGGCGGGACAAAGAAACTCATAACAAAAACGCCACTGAGGTACCCTTCGAGCCATGTCAACAAGCGTATCCAACCAAACGTGTTCATCGTCTAGGACCACAGCATCACAGTCGGGATGCACCAATTTCGAAGTAAGCGCCTGCATTCCTCTTGACCAAGTCATCGCTTGGCCACCCCACCTCTTCTCCCATCCGCACCCCCGGTGCGCAAACAACGCACGTCGCGAGAGTCGGTGGGCTGGCATGCGCAACACGTGGCTGAGCCATCAGAGCCTGATGCATGATATAACGGTGCTGAGCGGTTCGCTTCTTCTTCCTACATCATAAACAAAGAGTTGAACACGCTCATTCCTCACAAGGTATTCCGACCAGATATGGGCTAAACTGCGAAGGCACCGGTGATCGAACGTAACTAGCCTCTTTATGTCGGATGATCTAAGGAGCCAGGTTTCACAACCGTACAGTAGGGTGGAAATAACGGCTGAATTGTGCACTCTATCCTCCAAGGAGAGTGTTGTCGCGCAGGCCCCATAGGGGTCGAAGGTTAGCAAAAGCGCCATTTGGTCTTGCTATATCGGCTGATCTACTGAGTCAGGTTTCAAAACCGTACAGGGGGATCGAACGTACGACTGCATTGTACACTCCACTCTACATGGAGAGTGATGTCACGCCGTCGCCATAGGTGTCGACGGTTAGCAAAAGCGCCTGGTGTTTTTGCTATACGTTTGTGACCTCGTCTATAATTCCATCGGCGCTGATACAACTACCTAGGTAGTTGTACTTTTGAACGACTTTTAGCTAATCACCACCAAAACTTACTTGTTCCTACGAGAATCATCAATAGCACATTTTCCATCAACCTTGTGTGATGTGATTAAAACCCGTTGACTAAGAGGGGTTGGAACATGTCACCCTTGGTACAGCACTACTCATTAACGCTGTACTACGCCAATCCAAGAAGATAAATCCCGAATGTCCCTGCGTACACGAATTCATCCGCAGGACTGTGTACCAAATTCTACAGTACTAGGAGCAGTTTTATTCATCTATTCCTAAGTCGTATAGCTGTCTGGACAATCATTTCAGTTCACAGCGCAGCGTATTGACTAAACGTCAAGACAACGCGACATTCAGGAGAGCTGACAAGATAACATTAAAGGATGTGTCAGACTGGCCCCCTCACACGATATGCGCCCCTAATCACATGTATCTTGGATAGGCCTCACTCTCAGGTTACCGCCTCATGTGTTTACCAATTCACCTGTACTTGCGGTAGCATGTACATTGGCCGAACCGAGAGAAGGCTGTCAACTAGGATCATGGAACATGTTCCACGGAACCGGGCAAATAGTGGACCCAAACTCCCTGCCAGCTCCATCGCTCAGCATCTGCTCGATTGTACCTTGCGCGAAAACCCACGTGACGCATTCAAGGTTATCAGCAGACAAAACAGCGCGAGCTTGCTTCGTTGTGCTGAAGCCCTAGACCATCAGACGAATGAAACCGAACCTTTGCAAACAGATAGACTTTGTGGCCAGTCTTGCCTTGCTCTGGTAAGACGCTGGCAATGACCTTGGTTTGCTCAGTGTTTTATTGCTTTTCCTATTGACCCCCTTTTTCATTTGCATTCCTTTACTCTTTCCACGATTTGTCTGTAAGCGGCTGAATGAGAAGACACGAAATAATCTGAATTCAGGTTATCCCGCATAAATGTTGTTCGTTCTTGCTCTCTTGAAATATCTTGGCTTAGTCATGAAAGTGAGTTTCTTTCAGGGCCGGCACCATGGCTTGGCTTTGAACATTTTTTCACAGGTTCGTCGGATGTGACACATTATGAACTTAATGCTTTCTTCTTTGTGACTGCTTACCGCTGCTTCTGGGGTTTACTATTTTAGATACTGGACACCAGCTTCGATCAGCTCTGCTCTTCTTGGGAAGACATGATTCTGGAGCTGGATTCAAAATTCACCAATTACGCCAGGGATTGTCTCTCCCGCAATAAGGTTAGCGCTCGCAGTCCCAATTATAGCTTTCAAATACACCCACTATCGCCTGAGTTAGAGCCGTTTCTTTGCTTTTTGCTTTCAGGAGTGGTCACTCTGCGCCGAGTTGTTGGAATTCATCTTGTTTGGCCATTGTCCGTAAGTATTTCCATACCTCCATCTGGTTCATTCCTATCCTTAGATCCACTCTACGCAAATTCCTCGTCGAAGATTGGACCGCGCATAGCCTTAAACGCACTGGCACCGCAACGCTGAAGACATATGAGTCGATTAAAATTATATGCTTTCAGCAGTTACAATTGTGAGTTTACTGCTCTACGACCTGGTTATCCAAATCACTAGATTCAGTTAGTCAATCTGTGGAAATTGCCAATCGATGTTGGAGGCCATCATTTCACTCACGCCTCATTCTTCACCATACGCTGCTCTCATATCGTTAGTTCTATCATCCATTTCTTCTGTTCAGTATTCTTCAGAGAATGCTGCTTCATGCTTCCGAACTGCTTGGAAACCTTCGAGACACGCAACGTTTTGCACCCTTTGGGATAACGGAACACAAGGCAGTCCAACTATGTGCTGCCGTGGGCTCCATCTTGCAGAAAACCCAAGAACTTCATCTGTAAGATTTTCAGTTATCACTTTCTTTGTTCTACATCATGTTCTTTTTCTCCTGTGTTCCATCTTTTTTATTAAGCGTTTTGGCCGAACAGCCCATTGAATCATTCTCATGGTTAGTATTTCTCACCCGGAATTTTTATAAAACACGTGGTACCGGGGAGCGACGAACTTTTACCAATTGGTTGAAGATGATTTTGTCACAAACAAACCCAACTCTCCATACCACTGACTCACATCGAATGAGTATTTTTCGTTCTGTTTGGTTCTCAGTACTTTTAGTGAATGGGAAAGTTTGATCTTCTGCGTATGCCGCAATGAATGACCGCTATCGGCGTAAATTGAATGAGCATGCGTTGATGACCTATCTTAACCATTCAATTTTTCTGTACTTCCTTTGCTCTTACTGTCAGAGATTCCATTTTAAAATATGCTTTACCTGATGATAACCTGGCTTGTATTTTCAGTGCGATTTCTCACACTTATTTTCAACCCATTGGAACCAATGCCTGTTAATAGGCTTTCTGTCCTCATGCTAAGTTTGATGTTGCATTCATGATTCTTCTTCACCACAGTTGGGATAAACCAACACACAAATTTTATTTGGTTTGTTCAGTTCTGTTATTCTACTGCTTATTCTTTGTCGATTTTGCGTGTTTGCTTTCCCTCAAATTCCATATTGGTTGTGTGATATCCCTGGTGTGGCTGTGCTTGATGTCAATGTTGACAAGGTGCCTGCCTGTCTAACACCCTCCACCTCGAGTAGTGGCTCCAGGATACTGTGAACCGTTGCTGGGAAGACGAGGTGCACGGTCCCTGTGGCCGCCCTAGGTTCCATCCAATGTGAAGCGGCCTACAGTCCAGCCACCGCCTTGTGTACGTCTGATACGCATGATTCCCAACTTAGATAGACAATAATGATGCTGCTGTGCATGTCGACGGAGTGTGGACCGGATCCGTTGCTGAAACGTGGCTCCCATCCACATGCCTCCCGGTCTTATTCCTTTGGGTTTAGACTTGATATTGGGTATGTGGGTGGTGCAGCTCAAGCCTCCCATGGTCCCTCTGTAGGCGCAGGCGTCCTGTGGCTGTCCAATGGAAGCCAAATTGACAGGTAAGTCGGGGACTGGATGCCGCCAACCATGTCATGATCTGTACTTTTTGCATGTTCGCGCTCTTCTGGGCACCCATTTCCTGTTTTGTCACACATGTCACTTACTGCATCGCGACCACTGGTTACTACACATAAGCAATATGTCAGAGTTACTCGGGCGAGCAGGTGCCATAGACAATGGTCAGTGTTAGATCACTCGTCCAGCGCAATAGCAAGTAGCTTTCAGGGACACAGCGCCCAGCTCGAACACAACCGTAATTGCATTTCAACACGAGTATGTCGTTCTACTTAACTGCTGTCCCTAAGCAAACGACTCCGCATCCTTGGCGGCGCTCAACGGCACACACATTTTGAGTGCTGCCCACGGGTGATGCATCATCGTGTGGCCACTGCACAGCATTGTGTTCGTCACTTACTCACATATGTACGAAACTGCCTCCGACTCTTTTACGAGTGTAGGTTGACTCTTACCAAATGGTATTCGTAGAAATTTATTTTATCGAACTATATTGTATATTTTCGCTTAGTGGCCCCATCTTTGCATTACTTTTCTCAGTATCCGCCATCGATCCACCTGCTGATTTTGTCTGCCTAATGCATGCACCTGAGGACCCATTTCGGTGTCACTCCGAACTGTTGCACTTATGGATGGACATTTATGGTGTCCACTTTCGTTAGCAACGGCTATAGTACGTTGTTTTCTCTTATCTCTGCACCCTCCATTTTTCTTCAGTATCATCGAGAAGAGCATCATACATCTGCGAGCTTTTTTCAAATGGATCTACGTTGGTAATTCTGGGCTTCCTTTTCATTCATGTTTACTTCAAGCGAATCCCCTAGAAGCATAGTAGGATGCTTTACCGTTGATTAGGCAAACCTTTATCCAGTCTCGTTTTGCCAAAGTATGTTATAGTGTTCCACTTTCCATGTATGCACGCACTCGGTTTGCCTGACACTTCTTTCATTTTTGTTACTTATTTCCTAGCTACTGAGTTGCAAGTGCAAAGATCGTGTGTTTATTGCTCGTCCGATTCAGTCTTCTGTGCCACCTGCCTGTAACATGTCTTTTGAATTTGCGTGAGCAGTTTGGTAGTGCTACCGGACGTTAGTGTGATTTTAGTCTGCAGTGTTCCACATTCTCCCATCTGTCTATTCTGTGCGATGGAGTACTGCACACTTGACCACGCCCCTCCCAACCTTCTTCAGAGACCTCCCGATTGGCATCTGGTTTCCACAAATGCTTTACATGTTAGGATGATCATTCAATGAGAACCGTTCTGTCAGTTTTTAAATTAATTGTGTGAGGGTTTTCGTGTGTCATTTGATTACGGTTCATCGCAGTCACCTTTCAGCCTGGCCGTTTCAACCTGGGTCTCATCAGTGTTGCGCGTTCCTCGAACCCATTTCGGGTTGCGATCCCCCGACTTCTGAATCTCAGTAGCTTGTGCCACTATGCCATGGGTGACGGTAACAGATCTGCGTGGCTGATTGCGTTTCCCTTTAGCCTCGGTCATTTTGACCTTTTTTGCATCTCTGGTGATCAGTACTACGGTGTAAGAAATTAATGCTCCAGTTAGTTAATTTACGATCCCGTTATTGCTTGCATACTGTACAGCGCTTATGTCTGACATGTCCAGCCTCTGCCTGCCTTTTCTGTCTATTTATGCACTGTAAATTGTGGGTGTGCTGCGCTTACCTCACTGTACTCTGTTTTAGCCATACTGGGGCTTTCCGGCCGCATTTTACCCGACGACTTCCCGCGGGTACGTATTTTGGCCAAATTTATTTCTCGATTATTTTACCGCTACCTTCTCATTCGTCTACTGAATTGATGATATACACCGGATGGTAGAAATATTCTGGTGTCTCCATTGAGTCAGTTTCGCATGAATCTCCACCGATGTAACGAGTATGACAGTCGACAGCACAGCAATCCTCTCTATTTGTGTTGGTTGATGTGCTCCATAGCACCACGATGTTCCTCCTGCTTCAATTCCCAGTGTTAGTGATCCGTCCACGCCTTACCTGTGAAGCTACTAGGATTTTCAAGGTCTTTTAGCCGACGGAAGCTCGCGCCAAACTAACTGACCTAATAAGTCTTACAAAGCAGAACTTTGTCCACGGGTTATGGTGGAATGAGAAATGTTTCAGTTAGTAGCACCATTGCCACTGCGACCACTGACACATTGGCGGTGGCTTAATTGTTACAGCCACTATGAATCTGATATATAGCATGGAAACATAAGGGAGGGACAGAAAATTAGCTCTCGATCAAGTTCAATGCGCTTAGCTTTGCCCTCCCTAAGCTCCTGAACGATTTTGCTAAGTTTGCGGCTTCCGACGCGGTTGTCTTACCACTTGGTTGATCATAAAGGGCTTCTGACCGAAATTGCCCTGACATTACTGCACTGGATTTTGCTGTTGTCACTTTCCATAGATCAGCTAGGTAAATGTATAATTCATGGCTGTTCAACTCTTCCCTGGGGGGGATGATTGTTTGCGTTGTAGTATCTGGAATACTGAGTCCGCACGATTGACCAATGAACAAAGCTGATTGTCACATGGATGTCAGGCTCCACGAAGCATGAATTTTCGCACTGGAAAATCATGATGGTTGTTAAGATCCTCCTACCTGAATAGCAAGAAAGCAGATTGGTTTCTACGAAAGGATGCGGATACATCTGGGTTTTAATCGGCGGTAAATAGAAAGGCCGAGGCTGCGCACTGCTCATATGGGGAAAGGGATAGGCACCATTGAACTATGACAGGAATGCGCACTGAAATCCGTTCACAGTCTTGAAATACCGATCATAAAGCCGTCACTTTAGGTCTTATGTACAATCGGTTAATATATTTGCTGAGCGACGTTTCGCTTTTGGCACCAAGTTTCTTCTAGTGCGGTGAGCTGGCTTTATTTTGACTAAAATTTTACTACTGTGGGTAACGTGAGGAGCCATAATGTCAACCATTGGGCATTAAGAGGTGTATGGGGCTATCTGAAGTAGTCCATTGGGATAAAATTGATGAATTGGCCGATAGAAAATTACTTTAATACCTAAGGTGTTGGTGGTTGTATTGGTTTTGATTGGGCATCTCAGGTCTTATTTCATCTGCGGACGCCCATCAAAGTGGTCGGAGTAAGGCTAGACGCCACGTACTCGAAAGCCGCACTCTTCTATTCTGTTCACGCAGTTGTTGGCTTTGGAGATTTCCACAGCCCCAGAAATTGGTCTTTGTGTGGTTGGTTTCAATACCATCCTGCTGATCTGGAGCCGATTTTGTGCAGTGTCTACCACTTATCACTACTGTGGAATCTCCTAGAATGGCTTTACACTCGAGCTCGTTCCTCGGCGATCGTGACATGCGCCGCCTACATTCTGGAATTCTCGTGCATAGTTCCTTTGCCGTTTGTGCACCATATTTACATTGGTTTGTTAATGTAGTTATTTTCTAACTAAAAGAACGGAATCTTTCAAATACACCAACGTCGATCATAGCGTTTGACCTTTTGTGAAACTACTAGTGTTGGATGGGGAAACACCGAAACCCTTCTATTACCCATGAATTTCTCTTTATTCAATAAACTGATTTATCTCCGAAATGGCTTCTTTATACGCAACGCCCGCCGTCGCTGTGCACTCTGTGCACAGCGTTTCTATCTTCTTCTTCTTCTCCCGTACATACAGCACTCGCTCATTGAAGCAGTGATGAGGTTCCTGTTCTGTTACTCCAATAGCTTAAACTGCGTTTCTGTTATCCACATCTGATACAAATTTCGATCCCTTATTTTTACTGTTCCTCTGTGATTCAAGGTCACTCCACCGGAGCGTGAACTGGTGATCGAGTTCATTACAAAATATCTCAAACCTGTCATCATTCAAGGTGAACTACAAAGCTTCCATATCGATTTGGTGCAGCAGGTGAGTACCCGCTCTGTCGATCTGTTTTTGACCACCGTGACGGTTAATGGATAATCCTCCTTCATTTTTGCGTTCAAGTACATCCGTTCGGGTGAAGTCCAAAGACCACTGGAAGCTGTTGCTGATCAAAGTCTACCGGAAAACGAGGACCGATCGAGGCTGCGTGTTTTAGTCAATTTTTCAGACGAACAGTTGTCCAGCGGAAACTTTCCAGGTAATTCCGAGGCATTTCATCGCCCAATCACAATCTTCCTCAGGAGCATTCTATGGCGTAGTCATTGTCGTTTCAATGGATGTATTCTGGCTATCTTTTCTACCGAACTCTGTTCTGCATCTCCCTGGGGTTGTTTAGCAATCACTCTACATAATTAACTAGCTCATTTATGGCACAACTGCCCCTGGCAAACTTTTTCGATCGTCTGATTTCGTTTGAGTAGTTTTTATTTCTTTATCTATGACCATCTTTGTCATATCAGTTTAAAATCTCGTACCCCATAAAGGTATCAGTGAGTGAAAGGCTAGCTGAGAGAGTCGGGTGGCTACTTCGCTCCCAAATCCACTAGTTTGAAATTTCAGTCGGAGATTTCCACAAACGATTGAGCCAGCCAGCAGTACCATGATTTCTAGCCGGACTATCGGAAAGCTAGGCGTACACTGACTTCGCAGCTCACACACCGTAGTAGCAGTCCGATGTGAGATGAAACGGGACGCCCGTAACACTTACTCCATCCATCGTACTTGATGGTTTTGGTTCGCCACCTTAACCACTTAGTTAAACTGTGTGTGTGTGGATCGCCTTCAGAGATCATCAACCGCCATTCACCTCCTTATAAAGCGCCGCGAAACATCTTACCAGTATAGTCGAGGTATCAGCCCTATAGCCATTCCTTCCAAATTACCCATAGATCTGACACCTTGGCTACTCACTGGTACCTGCAAAATGAAATCCGTGGGGGTCGGACCGGCTTTCTCTTTGACAGCGAACTTTTTTCACATGAATATGCTTCAGCAGATTATTAAGCCGTAACATACTTATGGACGACCTTTCTTGTTTGTCATCCTATATTTGCAGGCCATCTTTGGTTCCTTAAATCATGACCACTTGTGGCGCCATCCAACTTCGTGAGATGTACCACAGCAAATTAAGCGCGATGCGCATTTGCTTATCTTTGCCACAAGTGGCACCGGTTCAACATCACTCTCGCCATAAGCGACAGAGTTTAAAAGCAGCTGTTCGTTCAACTATCCTCTACGGTGGCGAATTCTGACCCATTAGGTCCACAGTCATAAAGAGGCCTGTTACGTTCGACCGTCGCTGCCCTCGAAACATAGGTCATGTTTGGTGGAAGCAACGCGTGAGCAATGAATGTGTTCGGCGTCGTGTATTTGGTGCAGGAAGAGCGAGTGAACTGCTCAGTACCGGCATATCACGCATCAGGCTCCGATGGCTGGGCCACGTGTTGCACATGTCAACACACTGGCTCCCCCCAAGCGCTGTTTTCGCGCCGGGGGTGTGGATGGAATAAGAGGAGGGGAGGCCAGGGGATGACTTGGTCAAGAGGAGTGGAGGCCCATACTTTGAACGTGGCTTCAGTTACTGTGTCCTGACTGTCGGACTGGGTAGCGAAGGAACATGAACACGTCTGGTTATATGCACTTGTTGACATAGCAAAGAGCCGACGTCAATGGCGTTGGTATTGTGAGCTTTCTCGTACCTCCCCATCCCGCTTGTCTTCTCTCGCTTACCACGATGTCAGTCTTGAAGCATAATATATTACCAAGTAGTATTTTACCTGTTGTTTTTGTATTCCATTATGTTTTCTATCTCGATTTTCTTGTATCTTATCTTTTTTATTGCGGCACAATGCTTGGTGTGTTTTTCGCCTTCATCTGCTGTGTAATTATGATTATGATGTTGACCACAGAAAATTCCTTTTTATTCTGTAATTTGTCAAACGCGGCATCCAAGGCCACATGTGAGTCTTTTACGATTTCTCCACGGTAAGGGGTGTGTCAAGTCTGTACCATCCCTGTCCTTCTCCTCAAGTTTCTGGCCGTATTGGTTGTCTCTTCGCGGCCTCCATGTTCTGTAGCGCAAATTTCACCAAACGACAGATAGAGCTTTTATGGTCGTATCTTGCTCATTGGAACTGAACTGGGTCTTAACATGGTGCGGCATTCGGTGTACCCCCCCCCCTCCGTTCCATCTAACTGTGCTGCTTGAATCGCTTCGATACCATAAGAACTACTTCGATTGGATAGGTTACAGTTCATACGGCCTCAGTCTCTTGGCTTCTGTGAAAGCGAATTATAGTATTGAACTGTTGACGTATTCTCGTCACTTCGCAATAATGTTTTTCAGCTAAAAGCTTTGGTTTCCGATTCCGATTGTTCCCCAGACTGTCTTCCTCTGCTCCGATCCCTGATTCATATTACCCTGGAGAACAAGATGCTTTCCGTCCGGCGCAGTGGCTATCTAAAGCATTACTGATTGGGCCGGTGCATGGCGCTGCACGCTTCAGCATGTCTCACACCTTCAGAGTGCAAAGTACTAGTGTGTGACTAAACCGCCACCTCACCGGTTCTGCTTATCATCGAACAGTCACTGGAAGTGGTGGATCAGTTTACTTACCTCGGTAGCTGTCACCTTTAGCGGTCACTTCACAGAAGTGGTTATTTCATCAAAGTTCGTGTGGCATTCTGGAGGTTCAGCCATCTATGAAAATGGTGGGATATAAACCTAGTAGTAAAATAGAGTGTATGACGCTGTAATAAGTTGGGTCCTACTGTATGGATTATATACCTAGCCATTTCGCGGCGAAGACATTAAACGCTAGGCCGTGTTTGGCCACCGGTGCTTGCGGAGTACTGCTCACGTTTGGTAGGAACACCGGTTGGGCAATGCTGAAGTTCGCCAGCTGATTTTTGACGAGAATCCTTTTGGTTTCTCCCTCGAGTGTTTGCAGAATCTTAATCGCTTACTTTGGTTAGTCCATCTCTTCCGTATGCCCACTGGCCGGTTTCCTTGGTGTGCATTATACTCCGTCGATGCACCAAGTTAAGCGAAATCGCAAGGCGGCCGGTTGCTGACGTGTCAAATTGTATTGACGCATCATTCTCATTGCACGATAGCTTAAGGTGTTAACTACACTTCAGCTCTTTTGTCGCCATGCAGTGTAATGAAAAATATGAAAAAGTGAGATACCAAACATTACAGAACAAAAAACTAAACAGACAAGTGATATCATGATGACATTAATGTTTTCCATGGAGTGCGAGGTGACCGTTTGAAGAGGAAGCTAAGCTGGAAGAGAAGTGGAGGTGAAACGCACAAACCAAACCTCATTGAGCTCGGCTCCTCGCCATCTCAAAAATTGCAGTTGGAAGACACCGGTAACGGCAACTTCAGAGTGAAGGCTTTCAATTCTCCTGACCAAGTAATCGCTTGGTCTCCTCTGCTTTTCCATCCAGACTCCGGTCTCGCAAAAATACACGTCACGGGATTCCGTGCGCTGACATGCGCAACACGTGGCCCAGCTATCGGAGCCTGATGCGCGATATGCCGGTGCTAAGCGGTTCACTCGCTCTTCCTACACCAAATATACGACGCCGAACACATTCATTGCTCACGCGTTGCTTCCACCAAACATGACCTATGTTTCGAGGGCAGCGACGGTCGAACGTAACAGGCCTCTTTATGACTGTGGACCTAATGGGTCAGGATTCGCCACCGTAGAGGAGGGTTGAACGGACGGCTGCTTTTAAACTCTGTCGCTTATGGCGAGAGTGATGTTGAACCGGTGCCACAGGTGGCAGAGATCGGCAAGAGTCCCTCAATCTTTTCCTTTACCTGTCATGATCTCATCACATCTCATTCCACAGGTGCTAAAATAGCTGCGCAGATACCTTAATTTCTTGACGACTTTTACTTGATCAGCACCATGTATCAGCGCAAGGGTGGGTCCCTGCAAGCTTCGGAAATGAACTTTTTGCTAAGCATAGCCTAAAACGAGGGACAGCCAGCGTTAGTCTGTCCAGTGTAGGTTCGCACCTTTAGGTGCTGTCACTGTTAAGGGTAGTGTCGTTGACGTTCTCCAAGGCAAGCGGTTATGTCTACTGAACGACGTTTACATGACTTCGTCGATGGGGAAGATAAAAACGTAGGGTGACGGCGGGCATCCTTTCCTCACACCGCTGGAGATATTCAAGGGCGGCGATAGTTTACCATATACCCTCACTCTGACCGAAATATGAGTGTACAGTGCTCTTTTGACGTTCACATAGTTATCGGGCACACGTTTCCTAAGCATATAGTCTTAAAGGCCCACTGATCCACCGAATCGAAGGTACCTTTTATATCGATGAGCATGCCTACGGTGAGTCTCCAGTAACTATAGCGGTGTTCCAACAATTGGTGTAATGTGAAGATGTGGTCGATGCAACATCGATTTCGATGAAAGGCGGCTTGCTTCTCGCCAATCTGACTTTCACGAGTGCAAGTCGGTCTATGAAGAACGATAGAGGCAGTCGGGAGCAAACGGACCCCTCTATGGTCGCTGCATTGCGAACGGGAGCCTCCCTTAGAAATTTGGACTATAACGGATCAACAAGTCTGCTGAGACAGTTTCTAACTCCGACAGCTTCACTAGTGACTTGTTGTGGGCTGGAGAAAGTCCATCTGCTCCTGTGGCCTTATTCCACTTTAAGCGTCTGATCTCACGTTCGACTTCTGAGCGTGAGGGCGGGTCCGGAGTGATGGCTCAGGGAGTATGGCGATCATTGGCCGATGGAGAAGCTGGCAACTCTGACTGATTGAATTGTTTCTCAAAGTGTTCGGCTCAACGATTCAATCGTTCTGACAAGCTGTGGATTGGCCGTCCACTCTAGTAGCCTATGGTCTCGCTAACAACAGATCTGCCTGTTTTCCATATCAGACGGAATAATTTTGTTTACTATGGACAGTGGCCATTCCCATCTTCGATAAACGATGAGACCACCAGACTTCCCGGTTTCTCTTCATGCTCGCACGCCCTTTCGACGGTCAGTCTATTGTATACGACCGAGGCAAACAATTTAGAGGCAATTTAGTTCGGACTGATTCCACTATAATTGCCGCATTTCGAACGGAAGGCTTCCTTGAAAATTGGGACGATAACAGAGCGGCTCCAGTCTTTTGGGACAGTTTCTTACTCCCACAGTTTCATTAGTAACTTG